ACATAACACGCATGCATGACCAACAAAAGTCTAATCTTAATAAACATGATGCTCTCAGCCAAATGACGACGGGAACTTACCTCTTGTTAAGCCTTCGGACTAAACTCTTCGCACTCCCGAGCTCTCGGCCGTGATGAACTCCGTGCGTGTGTACTCGTGTGCGCGCGGTAGCGGGCGGCTTGCGGTGTTGCGGTAGTGTGCGGAAGCTAGTGGCGTTGCGTGCGGAAGCTCTCGGCAATATCCTCCAATACTCACTAAACTCACACACTCTCGGCACTAGTATGGAAGGAGAAGGAAAGTGGAGCTAATTTTTCCAAGTCTCCCATTTAATCTCAAGGGCCGAAAGCATAATGTGAGGGAGGGATGCATGGTCAAATGTTTGGACACTTGTCCCACATGCTTCTAATGCTAGGACACCAAACACTAAATGCCAAAGAGTCATACACTACACTCCAAGCTCTCCTTGGCCTCAATAGCCACGTGAATGCACCACAAGACAAAGGAAAAGATGCTTGAACATATTCCCATACACACAATTCCCACGGCATTAACACACGGAGCTTGGACCAAGTTCTCTCATGCACAAAAACACAAAAGAGTTGCACGGATTTAGCATGAAATTAGTACAATACTCACGGCTTTACTTAGCCAATTGGGATCAATTATCAATTAATCACCATTACTTGCTTAATTATCAATTAAGCATAATACTTAATTACCAAAATTATTTCGAACGTAAACGGTACGTCGAAAATATTTTTCGGTAATTCCGACTAAAATAACTGAAATTAATTAACTCCGAAAAATAATATCGGAACTAAAATATTATTATACTGATGAAAAGTTAGGATATTACATCATCAACCCCGGTGAGTCCGACAATGATGATGGCGATAATCTCGATATCTGGCTAGAAAATATGTTGGAGGCGCCATCTAGTCCTATTTACCGGCCATCATGTGTACAAGATTGGCCAAAAGGTTGTGGACCAAAGCTGAAGTCAAGGGTAAGGAAACGGACGACCAAGAGACAACGCAAGGCAAGGGCACGAAAAGCAAGTCAATGCAAGTGCGAGCCTTGTGCAAAGAAAAGACAAGCTCAAAGGAAGGAGGCTAGAAGGCGTGGCTTACGATGGGTGAAGGATGGTTGGTGGATACCGGCGGACGATTGTGTAAGGTTGAAGGGTTGGGACCCGTGGCCCGAGCCAACGGAGACAAGCGACAACGGGAAGGACGACAATGATCGGCTAATGGGCGAGTGGCGCGCATCGACCCATGATGCGCGCGGTTGGACCGAACAGGCCACACACGGAAACGCGACACGCGGTCAGGACGAGGGGGTCGACTGGGACGCGTTGGCATTCGGCAGCACAAGTACGGGCGCACGACGAGAATACGAGGAGCGCGCATCGGGTGCGCGCGAATATGTGCCAGATGAGGAGTCGAGCACGCGGACGGCAGCAGGCGTACGCGGGTACGAGCAGGCCGCAGAGACGGCTGGGATGCGCCGTACTTGCGGGGGTGACGATGACGCGCGCGGGGAGACCAGCGGGGGCGCAAAGCACGCGATGGCGCGCGATTGGCAGGCAGGCACGAGAGACCTAGTCCGCACGGGACTAGGCGAGGCACGGGGCACACACGCGCGGGAGGATGGCAGCAGCGATGTGGAGCGCGCGATGGAACGCGAGTGCACTACAGGCGCGAGTATTCTATGCGCGGAAGGATTAGGCGACTCACAAGAAGGGATGCACGCGCTGGACGATGGCGGCACGGACGGGGACCGCATTAGCGCGTGCGCGTGCGCGTGCGGGACACATGAGGCGCGCGATGCCTCGCGCGCCGAGGATTAGGAGAGCCGAGGGTAGGCGTGCGCGACGCGTACAAAGGCGCACGCATGGAAATGGCCGAGAGTTCTAGTGTAGGTTTAATTTTAGGGAGCTTCTAGAATTGCTTGGTGTGAAAGCCAAGCAATAGTTATTTTGGTAGCTTTAGGATTTTATTGCTTTCTAGACTTAGGATTTCTATTCTTGCAATATTTAGGAGATCTATTAGATTTAGGCATAGATTTATTTTACAACTATAAATACCCCATGTACCTCATCATATTTGACATGTTGAATGAAGTATTGAATTGGTGAGCCAATCTTGAGGGGGAACTTTATGTTCTTAACGTGTGATAAAGAAGGCCATTAGTGCGTCTTTACATGCAGTGTCGGAGAGAAGGCCATTAGTGCATCTTGAAGTCACGGTATCTAGAAGAAGGCCCTGAGTGCGTCTGCTAGATACATCTATCGCGGATAAACGAAGGCCGCAGTGCGTCGTTTATTCGCACCCACGTATAGGTGAACACACGATCCGTCATCATTGGTGCTTTCATTGAGAGGGGCTGATCGTGTGGTTATCTATCTTATCTTTTTATTTTTTTTGGTTTGCCTTTTGGTGAGGGACCGAATTTCTCTTTTTTTTTTAGTCGAAATTTTCGAATTTATTTCGAATTTTTCATTAAAAAAAAAAGTGTCATCTTGTTAGTCCTTTGTTATTTTTTTCAGTTATTACCTTTTGTTGAGGGGCCGAATTTCTCTTTGTTTCGATTTTTTTTTTGAGTTTTGTTGGGGGTTCGAATTCTTCGAATTTTTCCCCATTTAATTTTCGATTTTTTGGAGTCAAAAAAAAAATCATGATGTTACCATTGGATGAGTTAGATCTGGAAGATCTTGAGTATCTCGAAGGATTGAAAAGGGAATTAACCGCATGGGAGCGAGAATTTTTGGAGGAGCTTCACGAACGTAGAGATTGGGAGGATCGTGAAAGACAACTCATGGAAGCCCGAGAAGCAATGGTGGTTGAGGGTCCAAACGAAGAGGAAGGTGCGCTTAATTTCTTAATCCTTGAGGACAAGGAAAGTCTCGAAGAGGAGGGGAATGATACGGAAGTGGTCATCAACCCCGGTGAGTCCGACAATGATGATGGTGATAATCTCGATATCTGGCTAGAAAATATGTTGGAGGCGCCATCTAGTCCTATTTACCGGCCATCATGTGTACAAGATTGGCCAAAAGGTTGTGGACCAAAGCTGAAGTCAAGGGTAAGGAAACGGACGACCAAGAGACAACGCAAGGCAAGGGCACGAAAAGCAAGTCAATACAAGTGCGAGCCTTGTGCAAAGAAAAGACAAGCTCAAAGGAAAGAGGCTAGAAGGCGTGGCTTACGATGGGTGAAGGATGGTTGGTGGATACCGGCGGACGATTGTGTAAGGTTGAAGGGTTGGGACCCGTGGCCCGAGCCAACGGAGACAAGCGGCAACGGGAAGGACAACAATGATCGGCTAATGGGCGAGTGGCGCGCATCGGCCCATGATGCGCGCGGTTGGACCGAACAGGCCACACACGGAAATGCGACACGCGGTCAAGACGAGGGGGTCGACTGGGACGCGTTGGCGTTCGGCAGCACAAGTACGGGCGCACGACGAGAATACGAGGAGCGCGCATCGGGTGCGCGTGAATATGTGCCAGATGAGAATTCGAGCACGCGGACGGCAGCAGGCGTACGCGGGTACGAGCAGGCCGCGGAGACGGCTGGGATGCGCCGTACTTGCGGGGGTGACGAGGACGCGCGCGGGGAGACCAGCGGGGGCGCAAAGCGCGCGATGGCGCGCGATTGGCAGGCAGGCACGAGAGACCTAGTCCGCGCGGGACTAGGCGAGGCACGGGGCACACATGCGCGGGATGATGGCAGCAGCGATGGGGAGCGCGCGATGGAACGCGAGTGCACTACAGGCGCGAGTATCCTATGCGCGGAAGGATTAGGCGACTCACGAGAAGGGACGCACGCGCTGGACGATGGCGGCACGGACGGGGACCGCATTAGCGCGTGCACGTGCGGGACACATGAGGCGCGCGATGCCTCGCGCGCCGAGGATTAGGAGAGCCGAGGGTCGGCGTGCACGACGCGTACAAAGGCGCACGCATGGAAAGGGCCGAGAGTTCTAGTGTAGGTTTAATTTTAGGGAGCTTCTAGAATTGCTTGGTGTGCAAGCCAAGCAATAGTTATTTTGGTAGCTTTAGGATTTTATTGCTTTCTAGACTTAGGATTTCTATTCTTGCAATATTTAGGAGATCTATTAGATTTAGGCATAGATTTATTTTACAACTATAAATACCCCATGTACCTCATCATATTTGACATGTTGAATGAAGTATTGAATTTGTGAGCCAATCTTGAGGGGGAACTTTATGTTCTTAACGTGTGATAAAGAAGGCCATTAGTGCGTCTTTACATGCAGTGTCGGAGAGAAGGCCATTAGTGCGTCTTGAAGTCACGATATCTAGAAGAAGGCCCTGAGTGCGTCTGCTAGATACATCTATCGGGGATAAACGAAGGCCGCAGTGCGTCGTTTATTCGCACCCACGTATAGGTGAACACACGATCCGTCATCAAGCGGGTGCACGGGGGCGCACGGTAGAGGATCGGGATGCATGGGCGCTGGAGGCGACGCGCGAGGCACGGGACAATGGCGCGAGCGGCACGGGTAGGAGGGGCGTGCGCGACACTCGTGCAGGTTGCGAGGACGCGCGGCAGTTGGGCAGCAACGACGAAGCGCGCACATTGTCGCGCGAGTGGAGCAGCAGCGCGGGCGGTGGCCTAATTCGATGAGGAGTAGGAGAAGCGGGTGTAGGCGATCACGTGCGGGAGTTAGGCGGCGGGCGTGCAGCACAAGGCAGCGGGGCGCGTGTTGGGCAGGCGAGCGAGAGCCTAGTCCGCGCACGACTAGGTGAGATGGGCGATGAGATGCGCGCGCGCGAAGCCGCGCGAGACAAGGACTAGGGCGCACGGATAGTAAGCGGTGCGATGGGGCGACCGAAGGTTTTAAATTAGGAGCATTCTAGAATTGCTTGGTGTGCAAGCCAAGCATTAGTTATTTGGTAGTAATAGGATTTTATTGCTTTCTAGTATTGGGATTTCTATTATTGCAAGATTTAGGAGATCTAGTATAGTTAGGCTTAGATTTATTTCTGCACCTATAAATACCCCATGTACCTCATCATTATTTTAGGTCTTCAATTGAGTATTGAATTGGTAAGCCAATCTTGAGGGGGAATTGATGTTCTTAACGTATGGTTAAACAAGGCCGTTAGTGCGTGTTTACATACAGTGTCGGAGAGAAGGCCATTAGAGCGTCTTGAAGTCACGGTGTCTAGGAGAAGGCCGTAGTACGTCTGTTAGATACATCTATCATGGATAAACGAAGGCCTTAGTGGACGTTTATTCACAACCAACGTATATATAACAACACGATCCGTCATCAGCCCGTCCCTGCGCGCGCTGTCTGTTGTGCCGCGCCTACCCGCGCCAGACCCTGCGCGCGTGCCTGCGCGCGCGCGAACTACCCACAGCCTGCCTGCGCGTGCATCCGTCTGTGTAACACCCCGCTTATCAGAGTAAATTTTTCGCAACTTTTACTTCGAAACTATTT